ATAACTGGGAGAGATAACTCCCCATGCTTGTGGTCTGGCCTTACAATCTATAGAATTTGTTTCCACACTCTATACTTTTTCCATCCATAATATTTGTGCCATATCTTCTGCTTTTGTCTGCCTTATTTATGAATGGAAAAATGTGTTTTTAGGTTTTTAAAGGAGTAAATTCTAAGTTGTATAGTGTCAAATTAGTAATCCATAGTTTTTGTCATTTGTTAGAGATTAAGTTTACAATAAACAGAATAATTTCCCTTTGTGAAACACAGTGTGAATTACTTTTATCCTGAATAGCAATCCACTTAGAATTCCTACTGTGTGGAAACAGGCCATTTGGCCCATTAACTCCATACTAACCCCCCAAAAAGCATCCCACCCAGAACACCCCCCCCACTATCCTTGTAACCCTACATTTCACATGGCTAATCTACCTCACCTGCACAACTTTGGACTGTGGGAGGAAAACCACACAGACATGGGAAGAACGTGTAAACTCAATGCAGGCCTGAAGATGGAATCGAATCCAGGCCCCTGGTGCTGTGAGGCAGCGGTGCTAACCACTGAGCCACCAGGCCACCCTAAGAAAGCACTACGTTCAGCTACCTGGGCCCTAAACTCTAGAAGTCCCTCCTTAAACTGCCTCATCTCTCTCCCTCCACCTTTAAGATGCTCTTTACAATCTACCTCCTTCACCAAGATTTTGGTCATCTGCCCTACTACTTTCTTGTGTGGATCATTTTTGTTTTATATATAATATCCCTCTTGAGATAGTTTACAAAGCTAAAGGTGCTGTCACTTGACTGGGCAGGTTGTATTATGAGGAAAGGTTAGACAGGCTGGGCTGGTATCCACTGGAGTTTAGAAGAGTAGGAGGCAACTTGGTTGAAATGTTTTCGATCCTGAGAGATCTTGACAGAGTGAATGTAAGGAGAAGATAATACAGTGTGGAGCTGGAGGAACACAGCAGGCCAGGCAGCATCAGAGGAGCAGGAAAGCTAACATTTCAGGTCGGGACCCTTCTTCAGAAATGGGGAAGGGGAAAGGGAGCTCTGAAATAAATAGAGAGGAGGGGTGGGGCTGGGGAAGGTAGGTGGGATGGTGATAGGGGAGTGCAGGTAGGGAGTGGTGGGGATTGGCCAGTGAGGTGGGAGGGGCGGATAGGTGGGAGAGAAGATGGACAGGTTGTGTCAGGTCAAGGGGGCGGGAATGAGAGGGAGGGTTTATTCTGAGATAACAAGGTGTAAAGCTGGATGAACACAGCAGGCCAAACAGCATCAGAGGAGCAGGAAGGCTGACGTTTCGGGCCTAGACCCTTCTAGTATGGTATCTTGTAAAACACACTGGTGAGACGTCAGTGGGAGTATTGTATACTCTGTGTCCTGGGTGCTACATTATAAGAAAGAGAGAGTACAAAAGTTGGTTACAGGAAGGTTTCAAAGGATTAGAAACTTCAGTGGTTTGCACATTCTCCCTGTGTCTGCATAAGCTTCCTCTGATTCCCCTCCCAAGTCCAAAGATGTGTAGGTTAGGGTGGATTGGCCATGCTAAATTGCCCATTGTGTCTAGGGATGTGCAGGCTAGTTCGGTTAGCTATGGGAAATGCAAGGTTAAAGGCATAGGGTGGGGGTACTGGGTCTGGGTGGGATGCTCTTCGAAGAGTCAGTGTTAATTTAATGGGCTGAATGACCTGTTTATACACTGTAGGGATTCTATGATGCAGAGAGGTTAGGGTTGTTCTCCCTGGAAAGAAGGTTGAGAGAAAATTTGATGGAGGTTTTCCAAATCAGTGAGTGGGCTGGATAGAGTAGATAGGATGAAGCAGTTCCTGCTCTTAAAAGGACTAAGAACGAGAGGGACCATAGATTTAAAGCGATGCGCCAATGAAGCAAGGGTGATGTGAGAAAAAATCTTTTCCGCACAGCAAGCAGTGAGGGTACAGTATGCATAGCCTGGAAATGTGGGAGAGGGAGAGGGTCAATTGAGGCACTCAAGAGGAGATTGGTTGGTTATTTGAATAGAAATGGTGTGCAGTAACATGTGGAAAAGGCAGGAGATTGGCATTGGGTAATGATGCTAGTTTGAAGAGCCGGGGAAGGAACGATGGACTGAATGGCCTCCTTCATGCTGTAACAATTCTGTGAATCTATGATTCAGTGTCACATCAAGTGTGTGGACACCCAGCAGACTCCTGAGGGTAATCTCCAGGCCACGGTTTGATCTGACTTCGGGGAGATTGGCTGTGTTTGGTTGTTAGTGAAGGAGATCACTCTGTATTTCCAGGTTGGTTTGAGCTGTCAATGATAGCTCCACAACATGGCCCTATTTAGCAATGCTCCAAATAAACTCCTAGCAGCTGAGCAGCAGGCAGCACATTGGTTAGGTTACCCTCTGGGTGAAGCAAAGGGCTATAATTAACCACGGCATATGTTACTACGCAGCATCTGTCTTAAAGGGAAACCCTTCTGTAACTCACCACACTCCGGCACACACATCAGCTCAATCTCCACCTTTAGCCCCGAGCGTCCATTCACTTCTTAGTCACCAGTGTATGTGGGAGCTTGCTGTGCAGAAATTGACTCTCTCCACTTCCTACATTACCACAGAGACTCCACTTCCAAATAAGAACTTCATCAGCGTAAAGCACCTCAGGACATTCTGCAGTGATAGTAGGAACTGCCGATGCTGGAGAATCTGAGATAACAAGGTGTAGAGCTGGATGAACACAGCAGGCCAAGCAGCATCAGAGGAATTTTTCTGAAGAAGGGTCCAGACCCGAAATGTCGGCTTCCCTGCTCCCCTGATGCTGCCTGGCCTGCTGTGTTCATCCAGCTCTACACCTTGTTATCTCAGGAGATTCTGCACTTGTGCAAGGGGCTATATGAATGCAAGTTCCTGATTCTTTCTTGATGCACTGCGGTCTCTGTTATCAGACAGCAACCTGATGAATCTGCAGGCTCGGCAGATATCAGTTTCCTGCTCCTCCTGAGACCACAGATCAGGGATTAACAATGATACCAAATATAAACCAGCTAGTGGCTCAATGTAACTCTGTGCCATGATCTGGCGTGTAAGAACAACTTACGTTTATAAAGCTCACTTTGCCAACATACATATAAGAATCAAGAGTAGACCTATCAGCCCCATGAGGCGGCTGTGCCATTCTATATGATTGTGATTGAGTTGTTTATGGCCCCAACTCTACTTTCCTACCTACCCCCACCTTCCTCCTGCCCCCTGAGCCGATATTCTTTGACTGTCTTATTAATCAGGAGCACATTGCCGTCTGCCTTAAGCAATCCTGCCCCTAGCGATCTCTACAGAAGAGAATTCCAAAGACTCATGACTCTCTGAGAGAAATTTTCCCCATCTCTATCTTAAACAAGCAACCCCTTATTTTTAAACAGTGGCCCCACTCGGTTCTAGTCTCTTCCACGAGGAAAAACATCATCCCAGCATCGAGTCCCCTTACAATGTTACATTTCTCAGCCAGATCGCTGCTCTTTCATCTCAACCCCAGTGGATAGCTAAGCTGGCTGTGCACCGAATCCACAACTGTTTGGCTTAAAGACAGAGAGAGACACCAGGGATGGGGTGTCTCCAGGGTACTGGCTCAAGTGAGGGAGAACAAAGCTTTTAATTTGAGAGAAGTGCATGGGTGAGGGATGGATCGGAGTTCCACCTGACGTCCAAAGTTAATTGCTCCTCCCGTATAGGAAAGGTGTTGGCGTAGTGGATGCGCAATAGTGGTAATGTCATTGGAAGAAGCTTGACACCATCCAGGACTAAGCAGCCCATTTGATTGGCATCCCAGCCTCAAGCATCCACACCCTTCACCACCGACACTCAGTGTGTACCATCTACAAGATGCACTGCCAGAAATTCACCCAAGATCCTTAGACAGCACCTTCCAAACCCATGACCACTCCCACCTAGAAGCACAAGGGCAGCAAATTTTATAAAATCATGAGTGGTATAGATAAGGCGAATGGCAGTGACTTTTCCCTAGGGTGGGAGATTTCAAGACTAGGGGGTATATTTTTAAGGTGAGACGAAAAAGATTTAAAAGACATGAGGGGCAACTTTTTTACACATAGAGTGTTTTGTGTGTGTTATGAACTTCCAGAGGAAGTGGTGGATGTGGGTACCATTACAATGTTTCAAAGACATTTAGATAAGCACATGAATAGGGAAGATTTAGAGGAATATGGGCCAAGTGCAGGCAGGCGGGATTATGTTCGGCACAGACTGGTTGGACCGAAGGGTCTATTTCCGTGCTGTATGACTCTATAACTCGGGACACAGTGGCCTTATACTCTGGGACTCTGATTCAAATCCCTACCGTGGCGGCAGGTGGAATTTAAAATCAAATCATAATGCTGTAACTGAATGCTAGCCCCAGTTATAATAAGCCGTAATTGTCAAGAAAATCCCATCTGGTTCACTAATGCCCTTCTGGGAAGGAAATCTGCCGTCCTGGCCTACACATGACTCCAGACCCACAGCAACGTGGGCGTCTCTGCCCTCTGAAACGCGCCATGGAGCACTGCTCAATTCAGGGGCAGCTAGGGATGGGCAACAAATGCTGGCCTTGAATTGAGCGGTTCTCCATGGCAGAGTCACCAACATTCCTGTGGGTCTGGAGTCACGTGTAGACCGGACCAGGTAAGGATGGCAGGTCCCACAAGAGGACAAATTTCGGGGAGAGAAAAAAATCAGGCTACAACTCACCTCAGAGTTGCAGGGGTGAGGAACACTCAATTAGGAGCTACAAGGGAAAAGAAAGTGGGAGGAGGATAACATTGGAGAATACTCTTCATGTTCCCACTGTTGGTGTAGGAGACTGGTTGATGATGGCCTCAAAGGAGACCCATTTTGGCAATAATCAGAACTTGCCTTTGGGAAGGGTCAATGAAAAATGCCTTCCATTGAGATTATGTGGTTCATTATTCCCAGGGTAAGGTTTGTCCAATAATGTGATATTCCTATCGTCTCTCGTTTAGGCATCATTAATCAACCATGGAGTCCCAGGATACCATCAACACTAACACTCAAGACCCTTCTACCGGCACTGGAACACAGGAGCCTGCCCAACATTCAATAACAGGGCCCAGCACGGGTCTCCCAGACCAGCAAGGAATAGACAGTCCTGCTGAAATTGCCTCGGTGTCACCACAACAACCAGAGGAGAAGCCAGAAACTGTGGTGGCACCAGATCAGGCAGAGACGAAGACAACCCTCCTGAATCTGAAGGAGGAGGGTCCTGCTCAGGGACACACGACCATCACTGACATTGCGGAGGATCTGGACAGACAGCTGGAGGATATCATCAAAACCTACGGCTCAGGAGAAATCGTCTTGGGAAAGGAGGCTGAGGGGGAGACAGGCAGGATCCAGGCCCTGGATAATGGGGAGGGAATGTCTGAAGAGCATTTTGAGGAGGTTGGGAAAGAGCACCCAGAGACCACTATGCAGGCTGAACCTACCAAGGAGATGGGCAAGGAGCAGAAACTGGACAAGAAGAAGCTGAAAGGACTGGGTAAGTAACAAATTCATTCCTCTATAAACATTTTCACAGAGAATACAGACACGCAAGCAGCAAGATTTCCAATTTGTCTGCTGCTTAGGACATCCACTGAAAGCCTGATGCTCTAACATTGCAGCCAGCTTCTTAAGTGCATTCAATATGTCTTGTAGTAAATCGTTTTATTGATATTTATTTATTGGTTTTTATTGAACTACCCTGAGGCTGCTAAGAGAGGACATCAAACCTCAAGACAGGACCCAAACTCCAGTTAAACATTGGCTTATGTGACTGTGACACAGTTCCTATCGCACATGCCCAGTTCGTAAACTTCGAGTAAAAGTTCCCTTTACTCGACACCTCCTGAGAATTCTTTTGCCTCAAAGATTTTGCACTCGTTGACATTTGCAAACATCTCCACTTCCCGTTTGGAAACCAGCATTGAATCCGCCTCCATCAGGCTGTGCAATCCACACCCAGTCGCTGCTTAAAATAGTTCTTTCTTCAAGGCATCATTGATTCCTCTGGCAGTCACCTTAAATCAGTGAACTTCGTCAATAACCCTTCTCCCTCTCTGCTCTCATGATTTGTAATACCTCCAACAAACTACCTCCTCAGAGAAAGGAGGCTTTCCCCTCAACCCCACCCCACCTTAGCCCTCCCTCCTCACCCAACTAATATTGCCCTCCACCAGGCTGGATGGAAATGAGATATCCAGCTGCTGTGATCTATTTAACTGGCAATGAGCAAACACAAGAGGCAGCCTTTGTTGTCCAAATGCTCCTGTGAACCTGACGACTCTGCCTTCAGTGAGTTTTCTTAACTTCCCTCCTGATCAATGAGCCCAGTTCCTACTCGTCTGCACCATGGGGTTTTTCATTTCACAAAGATCGTCCATGGAAATAAATATTTTCTGTTGTTAAGACACCTCAAACAAATGACATAGCAATGTTTCCAATTTAAACCCAGAGGACGCTCTGTAGCACCTCATGGAGCCTCCGTCACAAAGGTCTCTGTATGGTCTGAGTGTGGCTGCTTTTCATTCTTTTCCAAGCCCACATTTCTGATCCAGCACGGTGGCTCAGTGGTTAGCACTGTTACCTCACAGCACCAGGGACCTGGGTTCAATTCCACCCTTGGATGACTGTCTGTGTGGAGTTTGCACATTCTCCCTGTGTCTGTGTGGGTTTCCTCCCACAGTCCAAAGGTGTGCAGGTTAGGGTGGATTGGCCATGCTATAGTGCTCAGGGATGTTTAGGTTTGGTGGGTTAGACATGGGAAAATGCAGGGGTAGGGGAACAAGTCCAGGTGGGATGCTCTTCATAGGGGCAGTGTGGACTTGTTGGGCTGAATGGCCTGTTTCCACACTGTAGGGATTCTATGATCTTACCAGGTTCTGAAGATAAAGCTTTGGAGTGCTGCGCCTATCTTTTTGCTGCTTCCGTGGCTACTACAGACTTGCTTTTCAGCTACTGTCTACGAAAGGATGTAGGAACGGAAGTAGGCCATTCAGCGCAACGAGTCTGCTCCACCATTCAACTTGACTGTAGTTGATCTGCTAATCCTCAACCCCACCTTCCTGCCTTTATCCCCACAACCCTCAATTCCATTACCGATTAAAAATGTTTCTCAGCCTCAGCCTGTGTCTTCTCAAGCTGAAAATGCTCTCAAAAGTAGTAAACTCATTTGCTTTTATTTATTTTCTTCTGGGTCTATGATTTCTTCTCTTCATGGTGGGGCTCAGACTGGCACTGTATTAATCATGTGGTATTATCCCAGAGGACCATTCTTGGTACCTTACCAGTACATGGCACTGGGTAAAGGTTTTTTGAGGTAGTTCACTGCCACCAATCCTCCTTTGTCTTTGCTTTGTCCTTGGCCTATCAAGTGAGTATCAGTCGAGAATATGTCAACATAGACTATCCACAAAAAAGACACTTGTTCTTGGATAACAAAAAGGTTTATTGCAGGATAGCAAAAAGTACAACCACATTTGGTTAGGTATGACTAGGACCTCAGGGAGCTGGGACAAATCCTGCTCCCTCCAAAAGCTACAGTATAACCACTGCCCCCACAAGCTGTGTGCGATATCAGGAGAATGGGTGGAGGCAATGGAACATGAACATTAGCCCCTTCGGAACCACGGCATTATATGACAGTAAGTTCCGTGGTAATTTTTCTCCATGCCAGTCCACGAGTTACAGCAGCCATTGGACATGTTGCTGAGGTAATCCACTTTGGCCTAACAATCCCGTTGTTTCTTTCTTTTCCAACACAGGGAAGGAAGTTGCCACACTGATGCAGAACCTGAGTAAAACCAACTCAGCTGCGGAGCAGCAGGATGCTCTCATCGGGAAGTACGCTGCACTGGTCAGTAAAACAAACATTATCTTCAGGTATAATTTTCTAAAGAAGGGTCTAGGCCCGAAACGTCAGCTTTCCTGCTCCTCTGATGCTGCTTGGCCTGCTGTGAAACAAGTTTAACAAATGTAACTCATAATGTTGCCTGACACTCTACACATGGGGAGACAGTTGTGATATATCTGGTCAAATAATGAAGAGGTCCCAGGAGGACCTGGATTCAAATCCCACTGCAGCAACTGGCCAAATTCAATGAATTAAATATCTTTCTCAAAAAATCTGTAGTTAAAAACTAGTCTCAGTGCTGGCAAACAATCATCAATCATCATAAAAATCTATCTGGCTCACTAATGTCCTTTAGAGAAGGAATTCTGAAGAATTCTTTTCTGAAGAAGGGTCTAGGCCTGAAACGTCAGCTTTCCTGCTTGCTGCTTGGCCTGCTGTGTTCATCCAGCTTTGCACCTTGTTATCTCACATTCTCCCATCCTTACCTGATCTGGCCTACACATGTCTCCAGACCAACAACAATGTGGGTTAACAAGGTGTAGAGCTGGATGAACACAGCAGGCCAAGCAGCACCAGAGGAGCAGGAAAGCCGACGTTTTGGGCCTTGACCCTTCTTCAGAAGAAGATGTGGGTCTTAATTGCTTTTGAGGGATAGGCAAGAAATATTAGGCTTTGCAAGTGAGAAAATGCTATGGCTTTCAAGAGGTTATTTTGTCCTTTTGTTTTGGAGAGCGTTTGTGAAGCAGAGGAGACAAGTTGTGTCTAAGAAAGTAAATAACTTGTGAGGGCTTGGGGTATTTTTAAAATTTGGAACAATGCAAGCAGCTTGGGTGTGGCTAGCTCTCTCAGACCAGTCTTTCTGGTTTGTTTGAGTTTTAGTTTTAAGCAGAAGCCTTTGGGGTTTCAAAACAATTGAAAGCTTCAGCAAATGTCTCTTGGCTGCTACTCTCTCCGAATTTTCTCTTGATTTTATTTCCACCTGGATTGGAGAATTGCATGTGAGAGTCTGTGTCTGAGTTTGCCTTTTTTATCAAGGTGTGTGTTTATGGGATATTACTATATTGGAACAGTTAATCAGTAATAGTTACCATATCTACTAGTCCGTTAAGTTTTCCAATAGAGTTAAGTTATTCTAAATTCCTCTTTCTTTGGTCACATTTTAACTTTAGTGTTTAGATAAATTGTGCTTTGCTTAACGTCGAGTAGTTTGACCAGTCATACTGCATCTGCGACAGACTCTTTATATTTACCTTTAATATAAGAAAAATTTAGGGTCTAGTCTACCTTCTTAAAATATTTTGAGGGTGTCTGATCCGGTCCATAACACAAACAACATCTGAACCCTTTTTTTAAAAAATCGACTGGATAGCAACTGATGGCTGATAATAACATCCCCTCTGTGACCCAATGGTGTTAAAGATGTTTGAAACTCCCCCTAATTGTAAGCCTGATTATACTAATGAACCTCACAATTCCCTCAGTACAACTGTGAGATTCACCGCACACTGCTGGGCAAGAGCTCTAAAAATAATCACACAACAACTGCACCATTACGGTTTACAAAGGTAGGTCCTCAGGTGCATCTTAAAGGTGGATGGAGAGTAAGAGAGGCAGAGAGGCTTGGAGAAGGTGCTCTAAAACTTAGGGTGCCATAGCTGAAGGTTTGGAGGCCAAGGATTGAACAATTCAAACTGGGAATGCTTGGGAGGTCAGAGAGAGTTGTAGTACTGGAGTAGGATACAGGGATATTAGATAAGATACTAGGTTGGCTCAAACCACCACAGAAAAGCTGAGGTTCAAGAGGCTCGCTGCCACAATTTTTTTTTATTCATTAATGGGACGTGGTAGTCGCTGGCTTGCCAGGATTTATTGCCTGTCCCTAGTTGCCCTTGCTGGTGGTACTGAGCTGCCTTCTCGAACCACTGCAGCCCACCTGCTGTGGGTTAACCCACAATGCCCTTAGGGAGGGAATTCCAGGATTTTGACCCAGCGACGGTGAAAGAACGACGATATATTTCCAAGTCAGGATGGTGAGTGGCTTGGAGGGGAACTTGGAGGTGGTGATGTTCCCATATATCTGCTGCCCTTGTCCTTCTAGATGGAAATGCTCGTGGGATTGGAAGGTGCTGTCTGAGGATCTTGGGTGAATTTTTTTTCTCCAGGGCAATTAGGGACGCACAACAAAAGCTGGCCTACAACCAGCGATACTCATGTCCCTTGAACAAAGGGATCGGAATAAAAGGCTGATGAGAGTTGCTTTTGTTCCTTTGAAGGGTTGAATCGCCAACTCCAATTCCTTATATTCCTACGTCCCCTTCCTCATTGTAAAGAATTTATTTCTATTTGAGAGTGTGTTTGTACTGTAAGCCAGTATCTCCCTGTTGGTGCCTGGTTTGTGACACTGAGGAGGTTTAACAAACAAATCATTGTCAAATAAGTAGTTTACCACTTGGATTGGAGTGTCTGTGCTCTTTGTATTGTTTTGAGATAGTCAGTCATCTTTGGAGAGGATATCCTCTCTGAATCCATGGAGGTCAGAGTGTCATTGGTGTGACCACTGTGGCTTTTATGGCTCGTAGCTGCCACCACCAGGGATATGGTGGTACTGCAGCTGTTTGCCACCAAAAACTCATCTTTCAAAATAACAACTTTCACCAAAGGCAGGAACTATTTCCAGAACCAAAAATGTACACAGACAGGCAGAGTGAAAATGAGTTCGGAGAAAGGACGCTAAAAGAGAAACGGTAAACTATCAAGCCAAGGCCTTGCCTGGCCTCTCCTGTGAACATCAAACTTGCCCTGCTTCGTTTCTGAAGAGGAGGACAAGAATTCTCGGGGTGTTTTGGGGAATTTATTGATCACCTCAGTCAACATCACGAAGATTATCTGGTCATTACTGTGGTAAAACATTTATGATATATACATCATTTGAGGTTTGGCTTTTAAAATAGAGAAAGAAGGCTGCGGATCAATTCTGTGGCGGTAATCTGTTTTAAAAAGGTCAGAAAGCATTTTTTATTATACAGTTGTGGGATGTGGGTGTTGCTGACTGGGCCCAGCATTTATTGACCGTCCCTAGTTGCCGTTGAGAAGGTGGTGGTGAGCTGTCTTCTTGAACCGCTGCTGTGGGTTGACCCATAATGCCCTTAAGGAAGGAATTCCATTTTTGACACAGCGACAGTGAAGGAACGACGATATATTTCTAAATCAGGATGGTGAGTGGCTTGGAGGGGGTTCTTTGAAGCAGTGATCTAAATATATCATTTCCACAAAAGCATGTCACTGTAGTCTGGCAGGACCCCTGTAGTGTTAACGGATGGAATGTTTATTCTGTTGAACTTACAACAGACTAGAAAGCCATTAGTTTTTGGCTTTTGAGTTCAGTTTGGAAGGATCAGGAGTTCAGTTGAGAAGGAAGGATAGTTTTCGCCAGCAGACGGATCAAGCTTTTAGCTCATGCGAACAGTCATTCCTGCAGAAGTGTTTTAGCTTGTGAAGCTTCCAAGCCAGGAGAGTTTGGATAGAAATCTTCAAATTGTTAGAAGTGGAAAGGTTTAAGCCCTCAGCATTGTGAAAGTTTCAGGACTCAGAATAATAAAAATGTCTCCACAGTCCAAGGAAAGGAAACTGGGAGGAGTCAGTTAAGGAAAAACTTAAAAGATTTGAGATAGGAATTTCAGTGGAATGCAGTGTATAATGGGATAATAAAACAAAGAACAGTGGATGCTGGAAATCTGAAACAAGCAAAAACAAATTGCTGGAGAAACTCAGCAGGCCTGGCAGCACCTGTGGAGAGAGAAACATCACAATGTCAGTCTGTTCTATCACATCCACAAAGATACCATTGCAAACCTGGGCTGCTTAGCTTCCAAGCTTTGAAACTGATTTTGAGTCCAGTGATTCTTCTTCAGAATGGAAGGATAAGTAAAAGGATAGTGTTGGGACACAGTTGGAAACTTTTGTATTGCTGTTTGTAAGATCTTTCCAACTCATTTTAACTGATTGCTTTTGCTTTCTCTTTTACATCACAAACGTGCGTTCTATTTCTAAAAAATATGAACAAAGAACAATCCTGATATCCAACTGCAGAAATGAAAAACATTATCTGTCAAGCCAGATCTCATTGTGACATCTGACTTGTGCAGTGTTAACATGAGCTCATATCATGACATAATCACATTGCGTTTTGTGAGATTCACTGTGCATAAATTTACTGCTATATTTCCTGGATTTCAATAGTGAGTATACGTGAGAGTTTTTTTTCCTTAAAGGGGATGTCAATACCACTAGACAAGGCCAGCATTTGTCATCTGTCCCTAATTGCCTTTGAACTGAACAGAAGGTGAGGTTGTTGACTTGCTCACCGAACTGGCTTGTTTTTGTTCAGACATTTCGTCACCATGCTAGGTAACATCATCAGTGAGGCCTCCGATGAAGCGATGTTGTTCTACTCCACTTGATATTTATACTGTCCAGTCTGTTATGGTGAGTTGTGTCATTTCCAGTTCTGTTCTGTATGGATTTGTATATGGGGTCCAATTCTATATGTTTGTTGATTGCATTATGGGTGGAGAACCACGCCTCTAGGAATTCCCATACGTGTCTATGTTTGGATTGGGCTACTATGGTTACCTTGTCCCAGTTAAACTGATGGCCTTCATTATCCGAGTGTACTGATATTAAGGGAAGTTCATCGTGTTGTTTTGCTGCTAGCTGATGTTTGTGTATTCTGATGGTTAGTTTCCTCCCTGTCTGTCCAATGTAATGTTTGTGGCAGTCGTTGCATGGTAAACTACGTTGGTTCTGCATGTTGTGGGAATGGGGTCTTTAATCCTTGTGAGTGTTTGTTGTAGAGTGGCTGTGGGCTTGTGGGCCACCATGATTCCTAGTGGTCTTAGGAGTTTCATTGTCAGTTCCGATATGTTCTTGATGTAGGGCGGTGTGGCCAGTGTGTTAGGGCATACTGTGTCCTCTTGTTGTTGTCTATTTAGTAGGCACCTGTTGATGAAGTTATGGGGATATCCGTTTATAGCGAAGATTTTGTATAGGTGCTCTTCCTCGTTCCTGCGTAGGTCTGGTGTGTTGCAGTGAGTCGTGGCCCATTTAAATAGAGTCCTAATGCAGCTTTGTTTGTGGACGTTTGGGTGGTTGCTTTGGAACAATGAAGGCAATCAGTTTAACTGGGACCAGGTAACCATGGTAGGCCAAGCCAAACATAGACACGCATGGGAATTCCTGGAGGCATGGTGCTCAACCCGTAATGCAATAATTCCACAGTAACCATCCCAAGGACCACAAACAAAGCTGTATTATGACACTATTTGAATGGGCCACAACTCATTGCAATACTCCAGAACTATGCAGGAACGAGGAAGAGCACCTATACAAAATCTTCGCTATAAACGGATATCCCCATAACTTCATCAACAGGTGCCTACTAAATAGACAACAACAAGAGGACACAGTATGCCCTAACACACTGGCCACACCGCCCTACATCAAGAACATATCGGAACTGACAATGAAACTCCTAAGACCACTAGGAATCATGGTGGCCCACAAGCCCACAGCCACTCTACAACAAACACTCACAAGGATTAAAGACCCCATTCCCACAACATGCAGAACCAACGTAGTTTACCATGCAACGACTGCCACAAACATTACATTGGACAGACAGGGAGGAAACTAGCCATCAGAATACACGAACATCAGCTAGCAGCAAAACAACATGACGAACTTCCCTTAATATCAGTACACTCGGATAATGAAGGCCATCAGTTTAACTGGGAAAACATAATTATAGCAGCCCCAAGCCAAACGTAGACACACACGGGAATTCCTAGAGGCATGGTTCTCAACCCATAATGTAATCAACAAACATATACAGTTGGACCCCATATACAAACCCATACAGAACAAAACCAGAAATGACAGTACTCACCATTACGGACCGGACGGTATAAATTCCAAGTGGAGTAGAACAACATCGCTTCATCGGAGGCCTCACTGATGATGTTACCGAGCATGGTGACGAAACGTCTGAACGAGAACAAGCCAGCTCGGTAAGCAAGTCAACAACATCACCCACAACCCGAGCTACAGATCTTTGCTAAAACTTTGAACAGAAGGCAGTTAAGAATCAACTACCTTGTTATGGATCTAGAGTCTAAAGGATTTTTACCCACATATTGTCTGTGCCCTTCACCAGTTTGCACATTACTCAGGTAATGATCCAGATATTATCAGCTTTGAGGTTCTGAGTTTTAATCTAGTGCCTAGCTCCTCTCACTCTCTGGGCAGAATCTCTTTCCTAGTTTTCTTCACTCCATTGATACATACATGGACCACAACAAATGGATCATCCCCCTGCCCAAACCCCCACCACCACCAACGGTAAATTCATCACCAGGCCTGAGCAGATGTCCCAAACCAGGGGGCAACATAACCATGTGAACACTTATCCTTTTCTGCAGAGAACAGGGTCAATCTTTCCTGCTATACTGTCATCTCCCACTACTAAACATAGATACATGGAATATAGGAGCAGGAGATGACCATATTGTTTGATCCTTTTAGCTCTAAGTCCTAGTTCTAACACCTTCTTTAAATCACACAATGGTTTGGTCTCAACTGCTTTCTGTAGTAGACAATTCTACAGGCTCACCACTATCTGGATGAAGATATTCCTTCCTTTCTCAGTCCTAAATGGTTTGCCCTGTATCCTTAAACTGTGACCCCTGGTTCTGGACTCCCCCATGCCCATCAGGAATATCCTTCCTGCATCTATGCTGCACTGCCCTTTTAGAATGATATAGGTTTCTATGACATTGTTGTTCATTCTTATAAACTCCAGTGAACACAACCCTAGATGATTCAACCTCTCCTCAATATGTTGGTCCCACCATCCCAGGAATCAGTCTGGCACACTTTTGCTGCACTCCTTCTGTAACAAGAACATCCATCCTCAGATAAGGAGACCAAAACTGTATACAATAATCCAGGTGTGGCCTCACCAAGTGCCGAAGAAAGGTCACCAGACTGGAAACGTTAACTCTGAATTCTCTCCACAGACGCTGCCAGACCTGCTGAGCTTTTCCAGCAATTTCTGTTTTTGTTTCAGACTTCCAGCAGCCATAGTTCTTTCAGTTTTTTTTTTTGTCTAGGGGTCTCACCAAGGTCCTGTACAATTGCAGCACAACATTGCTGCTCCTGTACTCGAATCCTCTCTCTAAGCAGGTCAACATACCATTTGCCTTTTTCACTGCCTGCTGCACCTGCATGCTTACTTTAGGTTACTAGGTCATGAGGACACCAAGGTCTATTGAACATGACCCTCTCTTACTTCAATATACTCTCAGATAATAATTTTTGCTATCAAAGTGGATAACCTCACACATTTATCCACCTTATACTCTATCTGTCATACATCTGTCCAGTCACTCAGCTTATCCAAATCACACTGCAACATCTCTGCATCCTCCTCACAGATAGGCCTGCTCTGTGTCATATGCAAATTTGGAGGTATTCCATTCAGTTCTCTCATCTAAATCATTAATACATATTGTGAATAGCAGGGTTACTAGTCCACAGTATCCCACTAGTCACTGCCTTCCATTTGCTAAAAGACCTATTTATTCCAGCTAAGATAACAAGGTGTAGAGCTGGATGAACACAGCAGGCCAAGCAGCATCATAGGAGCAGGAAGGCTGACTTTTCGGGCCTAGACCCTTCATCTCTTTGTTTCCTGTCTGCTGACCAGCTTTCCACCCATCTCAGTATACTGCCCCCAATTCTAAATGCTTTAATTTTACACGTTAATCTCTTAGGTAGGGCTTTGTCAAAAGCCTTCTGAAAGTCCAAATAAACCACACGCCCTGGCTCCCCCAATCAACTCCACTCATTACATCCTCAAAGAATTCCAACAGATTAGTCAAGCATGATTTCCCTTTAATAAATCTGTGCTGCTTCAGGACCACCTTGCTATTGCATGTTGCTCTCCCACATTCGAATGGCTTCCTGTGTCATGGTGCAATGGTCGGTTTAAAGCTCTCGAGCTGAGAGAATCTGAAACATAAAGGATAATTGCAGAGGCTGGCATTCCCATCCTCTGTTACCTGCCTTATTTTCATTCATATGCTCCTGTCCCTGACCACTGACTAAATCGGAAGATCCCATTCTAAACGGTGTGGCTGCTGAAGAACATGAATCCAGGTAACTTTCTCATCCCTGATTTGCCACAGTGTCTGCGGTTAAGCCTCCAGCTCTTAACCTCAGAGCTGAAACTGCTTGAACTTCAAACACTGGCTGTAGACGTGTCATATCCTGGAACTCAATGCCACCCAGGAGCTCCCACATGCTGCAGCTTTGACGCATCACCTTTACTACCATCCTTAATGAGTTTCAACTTGTGAATATATTGTTCACTTATGTACCTTGCTTTTTTTCTTAGAAATTTTATTAATTTTACCATCAATTTAGGTGCTTTGTTAAAACTTAAGAACAGAACAGGCCTTAATCACTTCCTAGTTACTGACCAAATATTTAGCTCCTTTCCGCTCCAGGAAAGCAGGAGGGTAGAAAAGGAAAAGCAAACAAAATATCTCCTCCTCATCTACCCGTCCCTGACCTCCTTTCTGCAAACTCCCCAGTCATCAAACTCCCAAGTTTGTAGTCTGTTCCCTCAGTGCACTGGGTAGCCTTGGCTGTGTAACATATCACTGTATTAAACACAGCTGAACTGATAATAGCTGGGCCTATGTGCCTGTTGATGTGTCACTGAGGAAGGGGATCACTAGCATTTTTCCCGATAATCTCCAAATATCCCCAGTGATTCCAGCATTCTCGTTGTTGCCCGATGCTTCCCAACATTTCGTAGTGATCATCGGTATTCCCAATGATGGAATGTCCCGGTCATCCCCAGAGATCCCTAGATTTCCCAGTGATCCCCAGTGATTGCTGACATCCCCAGTGTCTGTCTGTGATTTCTCCGACATTCCCCAGTGACCCAGAGCTGTCTGGCGACAGAGCTGTGCGGTGACCCTCAGTGCCCGCAGTATTCATCAAGATTTCTCTCTGGGTGCAGCTGGAGGAGTACCGTGGAGAGCAGAAACAGAGGAAGCTGTTACAGAGGAAGCTGGATCACCTGAGCAGGGAGAAGGACCAACTGCAGAGTGAGCACAGCAGGGCAGTGCTGGCTCGGAGCAAACTCGAGAGCTTGTGTCGAGAACTCCAGAGACACAACAAGACTCTCAAGGTGAGTGGACCCCGGGGAAGGATTGGGGATGTTCCACTGTCAAAAGGACCTACACCAAAAACAATTGCAAACACATTAAATGGTGGCTTTGTAAAATACATACACTGCTGTTTAAATCTTATCGGGACGTCTTACTTGGCCCATTGATCTGCTGAAGCGAAGAAAGGGACGGGGTGACTGAAATATTACCTGAGGATACTATAGCTTTGAGAGCTCTCAGATCTGAGTCAACAAGGGAGAGAGTGGATCACACAGGGGAGAGAGTGGATATTACTGGTGTGGGAAATGGATCACACAGGGGAGAGAGTGGATCTTATTGGTGTGGGAAATGGATCACACAGAGGAGAGAGTGGATCTCATTGGTGTGGGAAATGCATCACACAGGGGAGAGTGTGGATCTCATTGGTGTAGGAAATGAATCACACAGGGGAGAGAGTGGATTTTAATGGTATGGGAAATGGATCATACAGAGAAGTGAGTGGATCTCATTGGTGTGGGAAATGGATCACACAGGGGAGAGAGTAGATTTCATGAGTGATGGAGGAGTGAGAGTGGAGAGATGTAATTGTAAACACATGTGTGTTTCTGTCTCTTTGTGTACCCTGACCCCAATTCTTTGAGCAGGAAGAGAGTTTGCTGCGAGCGAGGGAGGAAGAGGAGAAACGGAAAGAGGTGACGAAACATTTTCAGGACACTCTGATGGACATCCAGGCTCAGATAGACCAGCACAGCCAGCGGAACGTCAAGCTCTGTGAAGAAAATACCGAGCTGGCCAGTAAACTGAAAACCGTCATCGAGCAGTACGATACACGGGAGGAGGTAACACACTCACACTCTCACTCTCACACACACACTCACACTCACACACACACACACACTCACACACACACTCACACTCACACACACACACACTCACACTCACACACACTCACTCTCACCCTCTCACACTCACACACACTTACACACTCACATACACACACACACTCACTCTCACACTCACACTCTCACATTCACACTCACACTCACACACACACACTCACACATTCACACCCACACACTCACACTCACACACTCACACACACACACACACTCACACACACACATTCACACACGCACACACTCACATTCACACTCACACTCACACTCACACTCTCACACTCACACCCATACACTCACACACACACACTCACACTCACACACTCACACACACACATACACTCACACACACACACTCACACACTCACACTTACACACACACTAACACTCACACACACACTCACATACACACACTCACTCACACACTCACACTCACACACACACACACACTCACACTCACACACACACTCCCACACACACTCATACACTCACACACACACTCACACACACATTCACACTCACACACTCACACGCACTCACACTCACACACACACTCAAACTCACACACTCTCTCTCACACACACAGACACACACTCACATACACAGACACACATAATCACACTCACACACACACACACTCTCCCTCTCTCTCACACATACACACATACACACTCGCTCACACACACACACACACTCGCTCACAGTCACACCTGGGGCCCTGTGGGGAGTGCACTTGCACACCCAGCAGCCAGGGCTAACCATTGCTGGTTAGTATTCTTCTGGATTTACAGCCCATGATGAAATAAGTAAAAGGGTGAAATGATAACAGCCTCAATTTCACAAGGAGCACACAGTCTTTGCTGCAGTGTAGGCTGGATCCTGCAGAATTTCTGATGTAGCTGACTCTATGGGTTTGGCCTGGAAGTTGAAATTTCCAATGACTAATCAGCTGATGTCTGGAACGCTCTGAGAACGTTCCTAAATCTAAGAGAATTCCAATTCACTCATCTGAGCAGTACGTGGAAATATCAAAGCAATTAAACTTGCTTGAACTTCTGTCAACTGTTAAACTGGCACCCAAACTCAACACTACACTGACGCTCAGGATGAGACCTCTGAGTCCCTATGGAGACCAATCCTCAATCTATCCCCCAACACTAACACCAGACTCCCTACCCCCAACCCTAACCTCCCAGAGAATCAACACATCACCCACCAACCCAAATCAACTCATCACTCACCCACTAGCTCCCACCCCTCTCAAAGCTCTTGAAACCGTTCCCCAACCCATCCCTACACAAACACACACACACACAAACAAACAAACACACACACACACCAGTTCCCACCAACGCCACCTCCCTGCTCTGCCCCCAACCCAATCCAGCCCCTCAACATGACATCCTTTTATACCCCCAGTCCTCACCCACTTATCTGCCACTCTAGTCCCTGACCCACCACACACCTGTCCCCACCATCCGCCTGGCACTGATAACCCTTCACCCATTTGGCAACCTACTCTCATCAACCTGGCTCTTACAGACCCTCATCCACCACACACAGATCCCCAATGGCCTGGCGCCAATACCCTCTCATCTACTTGCCACCTATACCCTTTCAACCATCTGGCACCTAACCTGGCATAAATACCCTTCACCCAGCCCTCTAACCCCTCACCCACCTGGCACCAGTAACCCTTCATCCACCTGGCACTATAAGACAGCATCTGCACGGTTTTGCACACCCTCACTCACTTGTCACCTTACCCCTCACCTATATGGCACCTTGTTCCACACCTGTCTGGCACTTTACCCCTTCACCCCACCTGCCACCCAACCTCCTCACTTACTTTATACACTTACCTTTTCTCAGTCGCTGCAGGAATGTAAAGCCACAGGAGATGGCGGCTGAGAAAGCAGGGATGGTCTTGATGCCAATCCAGTCAGCCATGAGGATACCTGGATTTCTCCACACTGCCTCAGGCCACAGCCTTGACATTTAGCTGTTAAACACTCACTCTAATGATGAGGCAGAATTAGGAATTATGATATAGGTGAGGAGACTGGGGCCAATTGAAATAAGCTGCTTTAAATTCTCTGTTAATGTTTCTCCCAGATGTTACTCAGTGCAGTGTGAAGAAGATTAGTCACTAATATCATGTAAGGAAGGAAATCTGCTGTCCTCGCCTGGTCTGGCCTACACGTGACTCCAGACCCACAGCAATGAGGTTAACTCTGAAAATGGCTGAGCGGATCCCTCAGTTCAGGGTTGACCAATCAGGTTTGGTGAACATAGAATGGCCCCCGATGTCCTGCGAATGATCAATAGAAAGTCCTCAAAGCTCAACGTTGATCATGAAATTACAGGAATACGCACACTGCGAACCTAGTGGAACATCCCCTTCTTTGTTCATTTGCGGGATCTCCCTGTGCCTCTCCATTTATCCTCCATTCCCAGTTACAGGGGAGAAGTATTTCAAGGATTGAAGTCCCGGCTTTAATGGCTGAAGTGATTTTGTAGGAAGGTGTTGAATGTTTGGACACTGGTAACACTCAGCGCAGATTTCCCCATTAGATCCCATCGGTATCAGTGATTATACCAGATCCCCACTGGTGGGTGGTCTAATGAAGCCTGATCAAAGGTTCACAGAGCTGCAGGGTTGGGTAGGTCAGGATTCATTGAGCTCCCAAAGCAGTCATGGGCGGTTGGCAGGGTGTTCTCATTGACCATTCTGTGTGTGGTCTTTCCTCCAGCACTTTGAAAAGGCCTTCAAGCACAAGGACCTACAGCAACAGCTGATGGATGCGAAGCTCACACAGGCACAGGAGCTGATAAAGGACGCAGAGGAACGACATCAGCGAGAAAAGGACTATGCAAGTATTGGCCAGTGTTTGGCACACACAGCAGTCTATAACTATTGATCAGTTAGCGGTTCAACCAACTGTTGGATAACCAGATGCTCATAAAGGGTAGAATGGTGGCTCAGTGGTTAGCACTGCTGCCTCACAGTGCCAAGGGCCCGGGTTCAATTCCACCCTTGGGTGACTTTGTGGAGTTTGCACATTCTCCCCATATCTGTGTGGGTTTCCTCTGGGTGCTCCGGTTTCCTCCCACAGTCCAAAGATGTGCAGGTTAGGTGGATTGGCCAGGCTAAATTGCCCATAGTGTCCAGGGATGTGCAGGCTAGGTGGGTTAGCCATGGGAAATGTAGGGTTACAGGGATTGGGTGGGGTGTTTTCAGAGAGTTGGTATGGGCTGAATGGCCTGGTCCCACCCCGTAGGGATTCTATAAAAGCACAGGAACATTACAGAGTCAGACTTCCTGAGGAGAGCACAGCTGTACGCTTGGGATTTAGTTAGAACTGCAGCCTTTTCTCCAAATTAGAATCTGTAAACTAATCCACCAGGACCACAGGTATGTGTGTGTACCAATATAACCGGATCATAGGGAGCTGTACTGAAGGAGCCATTATTGTCTTCATTGTAACAAACAGGGTTATGTCCATGGGGTCAATGCCATTCCACAATCTGTAATTGGGAACGTGGTAGGAGGAGGGTGAGGGTGGGGAAGGATGGGAGGCTTAAGAAGCATCTCAGGTCACTATGTTGCAGCCATTAGGAAATGTTGGGGGGACAGGCCTGAGGGACCATCTTTTCCTTCCCATCCATACTGAAGCAGCAACACAGTTTCTGTTGAGTCCCAAATATTTGCCTGAAACACAGGCACTGTTGTTCTAGTGCAGGTGGAACCTGGATTAAAGTGATTGTTTGAGGTCTCTGTTTCTCTGTCTTCTCGTTCTCTCTTCAAACAGCTCCTGAATCAAGCATCTGAGTGGAAGCTGCAAACCAACATCATGAAGGAACAAGAGACCCTGCTCCGAGCCCAGGTGAATTGTGTACAGCAGCCCCTGGACTCAGTCAGAGCTCACAGACTGAAATTTAAACTCCTTACATTGTCATGATCATGGGTCACCTGGAAACCACACAGACACACACAGCATTAACAAGCAGTGGGTGTTTTTCAATCAGCTTTATGTTGCTGCGATTTTCTGATGAAGGGTCTAGGCCCGAAATGTCAGCCTTCCTGCTCCTATGATGGTGCTTGGCCTGCTGTGTTCATCCAGCTCTACCCCTTGTTATCTCAGCTTTATGTTGCTGTTTGGTAGGGAAAGAAGGTTGACTTTTTAGAAGAAGCTAGGTCTTGACAAACAGCAATAAATAAGAACAAAGTTGCTGGAAAAGCTCAGCAGGTCTGGCAGCATCTGTGAAGGAAAAAACAGAGTTAACGTTTCGGGTCCGGTGACCCTTCCTCAGAACTGCCAATCCAATGTTAAAAGTAACATTCTACATCCACATTGTTCAATCCCTATTAAATATCTTATGGAATTCTTGAACTGTTGCAGAATAGTTTACTGAAGGAAAGAAATCTGCCAATGGGTGAGAAAGTATTTTGGGCAGTGAATGAAGGTGACAAGGATGTGACATTTGAGCTTGTCATTTTAATATGAATAATATATAAAAGGATGTGGGAAATGGGTGATGAAATGGGGTTGGGGGACTGCTCCAATAAAAGGGCTAGTGCCAGGACATGCCTAGTGGGCTAAGTCAAGATCATGAAAAATTGTAGCTCATAACCAACACTCCTCAAAGCGTGGTTCGAGCTAAGAAATGGGTACTAAGAGCCCCTTTGCAATTTACGAGTGGAACAATTTTGAAATAACCAGCGCTGAAGTTTTAGTCTTAAACGAGATCAAGGTTAGTTTGTTATACTGTTGTAAGCTATTGAAGTCAGTGATGAAATTACAAACGAAATGCATGCAAGCATGAGATGCAGATAAGGGTAGTCGGTAGCTATAAAAATGAAATTCGGTTTAGCTCTTTAGGATTTCGTTGCAGCTGGACGTGTGGAGTGAAGGTCAGAGGCTGAGGAGTTGTTTTCAGCAGCTGGATGGCTCCTGTAGCCGAATAGTCAGAGTTTGCCTTTGTAATCGATGTAGCAGCTTGAGGGTGGAAGTGAAAGTCCCTCTTCCCTACTGGCTCAGCTGTACAAGTGCCTCGAACAAGCCCCTGGATTCCTTTCCGGCAGGACAGAGGTGAGTCCTTTTCCTGGGCAGACTCCTCTGTAACTCTCGGTCGCAGCTCTCACATGCAGCGCGCAGTTAGCTCAGTCTAGAGCAGCGACTGAAGCTGTCTTCACAGTTTCTGCTGAGATCGCTGCTCAAATTGGTCAGATCCGATACAGAACAAAATCCAAATTAGCTGCTACCTCAAACTGTCAAATTATGCTTCAATATAAAGCATTGGTTAGTCCATGCCCATAGTACAGTCCCATCCATCAGTTAGTCTAAGTCCATTGGACAGTCGCATCCATTGTCTTTTGGCATGGCTGGTTAACTTTTTAACCACAACACCATTCACTGCATTAGCTCCTAATTTTATGAGTTTGGTGGGGTAGGAGGAGCTAATCACATCTTCGGGGAAGTCAATGAGTTTATGTTTAACTTTGCTGAAACACTGATTGAATTTTTAATGTTTCTTGCAATCCTCCTTACGATAGAAATGGCCAGGATCCAAATGTAGTCAAGGCCACAAGAGAAGTCGAGAGGCTATTGCGATCTGTGTTTTAACGCTCCTATCAGCCATAATCCTGTTGAATGATGGAGCCGGCCCGAGGGGCTGAATGGCCTACCTAGGTTCCTATTTCTTATGGTCAATCTTAAAAGAATATTGCTACAAAATGTTTAAATTATAACTACATATTTGTGACAGCCTATCAAGTCTGCTTATGCTGTTGTGGGCTGATCCAGTTGTGGCCTGAATTCTATTTTCTTCCCTATCCAAAGTGATGGAGGAAGCATCTTTGTCTTGGACTGAAAGGCTCATAGACACTTCTTCCTCCTCTCCTGTTTTCATCCCTTATCTGAAGGAGATAGTTGCCCAGCCAACACTGTTGCCTGACAAGGACTGACCCCTGATCCCCAAAAACATGTGAACATACCTGATTTCTAGGGGCTGAAAGTTTACTCTGTGTCAATCACCCATTTGATTATTCCAGATATGGACATTGGGCAACCATTTTAATTACTCAGAGAGTCATAAAGGCCATGTGCCCCTTCCCACCTTCACCTGAAGATCAGTTTTCTTTCTTTACGCAAACAAATCTTTTATTTTCTACACAAGAAAGTAAAGAACTGCAGTTGCTGGAAATCTAAAGCAAAAACCAGATAGGGTTGGAGCAACTCAGCAGGTCTGGTAGCATCTGGCAGATCACTGGACTCTAAATGTTAATTCTGTTTCTCTCCCCACAGATACTGCCAGACCTGCTGAGTTTCTCCAGCATTATCTGTTTCTGTTTTATTTTTCTTAAACCCAGCATTGATAACAGTTACATCTGGTGCCAGGTAGTTCTAAGATGTCAGCTTATGGAACTCTGTGATCTTGGAGACCTTTACTGTGTCTTTGTTCTGTCCTTGTTCCTTGGAGATGATCGTTCATGTTTAGAGAAAAGAAAATAACTCAAAGTGACACGAAATCTTCTTCTACACAGAAAGACAATCCCAATTTCTAACTCTTGGAGTTGATCCATGTCCTCTTTCTGTCTCTCTCTCTCTCCAGCTCAAGCTGTATGCTGAGAAGTTTGAGGAGTTCCAGGGGACACTGACAAAAAGCAATGAAACATTCAGCAACTTCAAACAGGACATGGAAAAGGTCAGGAACTTTGAATTTGACGGAGATCATTTAATTTCCAAGTGAGGGAAGACAGGGTCCACACAGACTTTGATGCCTGTCCTGATTCGGGAAGGAAGAGGGAGTATTTGGCAAGGTTTCTGGGGGGCGAAGACTCTCTAGTGCCACACATGAGTTCGAGCACAGACAGTTAAGAATGGTGTACCCCTCTGACTGTTACCATGTCCACCAGGCTCACGCGCTTTTCTTCCCAAAGTCTTGGAGATTAATTAAACCCTTGATTGTTTGTCATCTAGAGCCATATCAAAATAAATAAATAAATTGCATTTGTATTGCAACTTTGGCAAGACACTTCAAAACTATTTAAAGCCAATGAAGTATTTTTTGAAGTGTAGTCACTGTTGTAATGTGGGAAATGCAGATGTGGGTTTGCACGGAGGAAGATCCCATAAAGACCAATGAGAAATTGACCAGATCCGTCTATTTTAATGATGTTAATTGAGGAGTAAGTACTGGGCAAGACACTGGATGAGTATGATCTTGCGGGGTGGCATGCTGCCTCAGTGGTTAGCACTGCTGCCTTACTACACCAGGGACCTGGGTTTGATTCCACCCTTGGGCGACTATCTGTGTGGAGTTTGCACATTCTCCCCGTGTCTGTGTGGCTTTGCTCTGGTTTCCTCCCACAGTCCAAAGATGTGCAGGCTACGTAGATTGACCGTGAGAAATTGCCCCATAGTGTTCAGGAATGTGTAGATGAGGTGAGTTATAGGGAAATGGGTCTGGGTGGGATGCTCTGAGGGTCAGTGTGGACTTGTTCGGCTGAAGGGCCTGTTTCCACACTGGAGGGATTCTATGATCAATGATGATTGCTCTTCCTCAGAACATTGCCCTGGGATATTTTGCATCCATTGGAGGAAGGAGACAGAGCCTTGGGTTAATGTCAGTTCCCCTGACAGTGCCATACTCACTCAGCATTGCACTGGCAGCATTGGCCTGGGTTATACGTTAGGATTGGAACTGGGTCTAATATCCCACTCACTCTGAGCTAAAGGTGTGACCTGCTGTTGCCACCATTTGGGGTATAGTGCTAAGTTTAGTGTTGGAAATATCAGAGCCCCCACAACGCGAAGCAGTGATGGCGTTGTAGACACATCAGAGACACGGGTTAAAATGAAGGCAGGAGGGAGGCAGACAGGACAAAACATACCTCGCCCAATGATGAATAAACATGAAACAAATCACATGGTCAGACTATCAACAGACTGAAGTCTCAATTGGACCCATTTGCAAAGAGGGAAAGTCTTGAGAGAACAAATGCCAAATTTCCAATAATATAGAGCCTTTCATTAGCTCAGAGTGTACCAAAGCATTCTTTTTTGTTATTCATTCAAGGGGCGTGGGCTAGCATTTATTTCCCATCCCTAATTACAGCGGAGAAAGTGTGGGTGAGTACTGTTTTGTTATGTAGTCACTGTTGTAATTAGGAAATGCAGTAGCTGGTTTGCACACAGCAAGATTCCACAAACAACATCTTGAAAATGACTAGATCATCTCCTTGAACAATGTCGGTTGAGGGGTAAGTAGTTGAACCACTACAGACCTTGGGGTGTAGGGCATTCGCAGTGCTGTTCAGAAAGGAGTTTTAGGAATTTGACCCAGTGACAGTCTAGGAATGGCAATATATTTCCAAATCAGGCTGATGACTGAACTTGTGGAGGTTTTCCAGTTGGTCGTGTTCCCATGTATCTGCTGCCCTGATCTTTGGAGATGGTAGAGATTTGGAAAGTGCTGTAGATGGAGCCTGGTGAATTACTCCAGTGCATTTGGACCATTGTTGAAGAGTAGTCATTATTGTAATGGAGTAAGTGGAGGGAATATGGGAACCAGTTGGATAAATGGGTTGGATCTGGTGTGGGAGATGACTATGTCTCTACACTAAACGGCTTAGTGATGAAATTAAGACAAAGCTTGTGTTTGTACAGTACACTTCACAGCTTTGCTAAATATTCACATGGCTTCTGTGAGGTCTCAGAAATCTGAAAAATGACCATTTAGTCCATGTTAGCAGAAGTGGTTTTAAGGATAAAATCCACAGTACAGTTGCCCTGTTCTTTAAGTAGCACCATGGGATCATTTACACCAACATAGATAGCCTCAGATTAGCATCCGAGAAAGTAGCAGCCTAGTGTATGTGCTCGGGTCTCAGAAATGTGGATGTTGGACCCACAAGGTATTGCACACTGAGGGGAGTGAGAACGCATTGTCGGTGAGCTAAGCTGAAATGGGACATGCTTCCCCAGTTGTAAACCCCTTCATTCCACACTTACAGATGACAAAGAGGATGAAGAAACTTGAAAAGGAGACGATAATGTGGAAAACCAAGTGGGAATCCTGCAACAAGGCTCTCTTGGACATGATTGATGAGGTGAGGATTGATCCTGCCTTTGAATGCAAGCGCCCATCTCTTAGGATTCAGGGGTTTCAGCTCCGCCCACCTCCATCTCCTTGACGAGGGAGCAGCCAATTCAATTCGTTCGAAGGTAGCAGGCACAGGGCTTCCATCATTCTCCCTTGGGATGGTGATGATGGGCACCGGGTAGGGTATGGGAGAGCGGTGCCAGGGTTGCGATGCAGAAGAGTTGGAGACCACCAAGGATTGAGGGCTGGAACGTTCCCTCGAACACATTAGCACAGGACTCACGACGCTGAGTCACATGCAGCGTCCAATCATGGAGAGGGTGGAATTGTCACTAGTCTAGCCATCGAAGAGGTCCAGGCTAAAGCTTTTAAGGACATTTGTTAAAATTCTGCCATAACAGCTGGTGGAATTTAAAATCAGTTCATGAATCGAGTCTTAGCGATGGTGATCACAGCAACTGTTTGATTAATGTTTGAAAACCCATCTGGCCATATAAAAGAATAAAATAATGTGTCTGGTTTTTTTTAGAGAAATCCCTACCATGTCCAATCTATACATGACTCCAGACCCACAGCAATGGGGTTGACTCGTAACTGCCCTCTGAAATGGCCCACTCAGTTCACGGCCAATTAGGAATGGTCAGGAAATGCTGCTCCAGCTATTGACACCCACATCCATGAATTAATTTTTTTTTTTAAAAATCATGAAGCTGATGTATGCTTATAGTCCTGTGACAGTGTCCCTACCTCTGAGTCAGGAGACCGTATTCAGGTCCCACCTCCACCAAAAGGTTTAGATACATAGATTCATACAGCGCAGAAAAGGCCCTTTGGCCCATCAACTCTGCACTGACATACCTACCACTAAAAGCGCACTGATCCCAAATTTCCTGCATTTGCCCCATATTCTTGAAAGTTACAATATTTTAAGTGCTCATCCAAATATTTTTTGTAAAGTTGTAAGCTTTCCAGCATCCACTACACTTCCCAAGCGGTGTATTCCAGATCCCCACCATCTGCTGAGTGAAAAACTTTTTTTTTCCCCAAATCCCCTCTAAATCCCCTGCCCCTTTCTCTAAAGCAATGCCCCCTTGTGATTGGCCCCTCAACCAAAGGGAACAGCAAATCTCTATTCAGCATGTCCATACCCCTCATAATCTTCAACACCTCAATCATGTCCTCCCTCAGTCTTAATGCTGTAATGTAATAACATCTCTGAAGAAAAAAACGAAAGAACTGCTGATGCCGTAAATCAGGAACAAAAACAGAAGTTGCTGGAAAAGCTCAGCAGGTCTGGCAGCATCTGTGAAGGAAAAAACAGAGTTAACGTTTCAGGTCCAGTGACCCTTCCTCAGAACTGATGATGGGAAAATGTCAGTTTATATGCAGAAAATAGGGAGGTGGGTGGGGTAGGGAGTAAACGATAGGATAGAGCCCAAAGAGAGAGAGGAGCAGTTGGACAAAGAGTTGATAATGATCAGGCTGGGAGGGTGAATAGTTGCTGATTTCCCATTCCCTATTTTCTGCATATAAACTGACGTTTTCCCAGCCACCATCAGTTCTGAGGAAGGGTCACCGGACCCGAAACGTTAACTCTGTTTTCTCCTTCACAGATGCTGCCAGACCTGCTGAGCTTTTTCAGCAACTTCTGTTTTTCTTCTTAACATCTCTGAAAAAGTTGATTACAAAATATCTAACCATAAAGCTATGCGGTTAAAAACCCAAACTAGTTCAGCAATGACTCAATTCATTGTGGTTCTTTTATAGTATTGTAGGCTGGGGGGAAATAAATATTGACCAAGACGCAGTTGAGAATTCCCCACATCTACCCCCTGCTACCAGTCCTCTTCAAAATAGGGCCTTGGGATTTTTAGTGCGAAAGGTTATGGTTCAGTGCTTCATCTGAAAGGCAGCACCTCCAATAGAGCAGAGCTCCCATGATACCTGCACTGAAAGATGACGAACTCTGGTCTCTGATGCGGGACTAAGACTCACCAGATTCTGACCCAGAGTGCTACCCACTGAGCCCTGGCTAAAACTGATCACTGGTGTGGCTGCTTTTGTTGAGTGGAAAGATTTGATGCAAAGAAATAAAATTTAAAAACTGCTGAAGGAGTCGACTAGAGCATCGCTTTATTCCTGAAGACGAGGCGTGGCCTGGTAATTCACACAGCGATCAATGGCCCTGAGCAGTGGTTGTCACAGAACCGACTGTACAACTGAGGTCTATAGGCTCCATACCCATTCTTATCTCAATCTCGGCTTGAGTCAGGTTTCTTTTTCAATCATTCATGCGATGAAGGCATCGCTGACTGGGCCAGCATTTATTGCCCATCCCTAACTGCCCAAGGGTAGTGAAGCTGAGAGGTGACCTTATAGAGGTTTATAAAATCATGAGGGGCATGGATAGGGTGAATAGTAAAGGTCTTTCCCCCGGGGTAGGGGAGTCCAAAGCTTGAGGACATAGGTTTAAGGTGAGAGGGGAAAGATATAAAAGGGACCTGAGGGGCAACTTTTTCACGCAGAGGGTGGTGCGTACATGGAACGAGCTGCCAGAGGAAGTGGTGGAGGCTGGTACAATTACAACATTTAAAAGTTATCTGGACGGGTATATGAATAGGAAGGGTTTAGAGGGATATGGGCCAAATGCTGGCAAACGGGACTAGATTAATGGAGAATACCTGGTCAGCATGGATGAGTTGGATCAAAGAGTCTGCTTCCGTGCTGTATATCTCTATGGCTCTGAGAGTCAACCACACTGCTGTGGGCCTGGAGTCACATCTAGGCCAGACCAGGTAAGGATGACAGTTTCCTTCCCTAAAGGACATTAGTGAAGCAAATGAGATAACAAGGTGTGGAGCTGAATGAACACAGCAGGCCAGGCAGCATCAGAGGAGCAGGAAAGCTGACGTTTCAGGTCTGGACCCTTCTTCTGAAGAAAGAAACATCAGCTTTCCTGCTCCTCTGATGCTGCCTGGCCTGTTGTGTT